AGCCATCTGTAAATATGATTGTTGAGTCTGAGTAATTACTTGCAAAATAATTCTGGACTATGCGCCATACTGGTAGTAGTTCTTTCTTTTCCTTCAACTCCCTTTGTATATTGAGGTCTACCCTTGGCAATGGGAATAACCAGGGTGGAATGGACGAGATTGGAACTGTGGGGCAATACTGTATTTTATTCAAACCTATACTTGCTGCTTTAACATCACCAATCCATCCAAAACTTGTTAAATGTGACTCATTGTGCTCCCAGCAGTCTTTCAAAATACTTTTCGCAGGATGACTATCACAATGCCCCTGAAGGTTTACCCAGTATGCCAACATTAACTTAACTCTTCTTATCCTTAAAGGCATTTCTCCCATTTCCACCTGTATTGCTGATACTGGAGATGTTTTAAAAGCTCCACTACATATTCTCAGGGCCTGAGCTTGTAGGACATCCAGTTTTTTAAGGTTTGATTCTGCTGCTGCCATGAACGCTATACACCCATAATCTACTACAGGTCTCATGAGTGCCCAATATATATTCAGAAGTGATGATCTACTCGCTCCCCACTCCTGTCCCGCCAAACACCGAAGTACATTGTTGACCTTTTTACATTTATTTTGAACTTTGCCTATATGATTGCTCCATGTTAGCTTTCCGTCAAACCAAACACCAAGAAATCTTATTGTATTAACCTGTTCAAGAGGTTGCTCATACAATTTTAACGATATAGGAGCAATTTTATGCCGTTTTGTAAAACAAATGACCTGCGTTTTAGCTACTGACAGTTTGAATCCCCATTTATTTGTCCATTTCTCCACTTCAACTATTGCAGCTTGTATTTTCTTTCCAACATGTGCTACATTGCGACCTTTTGCCCACAAAGCCCCATCATCTGCATACAAAGATTTTCCCACACTTGGATGAACTTGATTAAAAATGTCATGTATCATTATATTGAACAGCAACGGACTACATACACTACCTTGCGGAGTACCATTCTCCACAGCATAAACACTTGAGTACTCTGCACCTACTCTTACTTGTATTTTCCTGTCCAGTAAAAAATTCATAACCCAATTATATGCTTTACCACCAATTCCCAATGATTTTAACTTGATTAGTAGTCCTTCCTTCCAGAGCATGTCATAAGCCTTTTCAATATCAAAGAAGACTGCAATCACTACTTCCTTGTTGGTCTGTGCTTTCCTGATGTCTGATTCTAAGCACAAAATAGAATCCATTGTATTCCGACCCCTACGAAACCCACTTTGATATGGGGACAACAGAGCTTTACTTTCTAAGATATATGTTAACCTTTCTGTAACCATTCTTTCCATAATTTTGCATAAATGAGATGTGTAGGAGTAGAATACCTCTGCTACGCGCCGTTCGTTGGATGAGGCTGGATCTCTATTAAATTAAGAAAGGAATTGAAAACACCGGAATCAAAGTTATAACAAATTATCTGAGTTTACTTCTAGTAGGAAACCAAACACATATACAAGTTATACAGAGTACTCGAGTACTCCGGGCTTCAGGCCTGATGATGCGGTTTTACAGGTAGACAGACCAGCTTTCAGAAAACGAGAAGTATGGACTCCAGGTTTGTGATGCGGTTTACCGTCTTCTAGCACCAGCTTTCAACAGACCAGAAGCATTTTACACTCAAAATCATCAGTATTTCTATCTGTCTTTGGGGCGGAGATTTGTCGATTCTTCCTTCCCACTTTTCTCCCAAGCAAATCAAAGAACCCCTGGGGAGGAGCTGTTTAAAACTGACCACCTCCTCCCAAGTGTCCTGATTGGCTGGATTCGCTTCTGGCCGAGGTCAATCAGAGTTTCGAACAGAGTGAGACCCCAAACCACACTAGGTCAAAAGTCAATGTTTATCTTTACCTTATCTTACTCTACATTCCTTCCCAGGGGATCTTTTCCTATTTTACGATGTCTTTAACGACTTAGAAACAGCATCTGGCTCTTAGAGATGATAACAGCCAATGTTGGTGTGTGAAACACAGAATCTCTAAGTCAGTGAGTTTAAAAGTGAGAATAACATTCTTTTTCTAAGTGATTATCAAAACCCGTTCAAACAATACATGTTTACTTCAATACAGTGTAGAATCATATCTTCTTACTTCAATCCCTCTTTTGATCTCACCTCACGAGATCAACATATAGCATTTGAAACATTACCACTGTCAATTTTCTTCTTACTGTGTCTGTCCCAACATTTATATAAACCCATCAGAAGCTGGGATATAGAGCACTTTAAACCTTTAGGAACAGTCCACAACAACAACTTATTATGACAGTGGAGGGAGAATAAAATATGTCTAAAAAGCAAAGTCCTTGTCAGCTGAGTCATCTTTACTCTTCCCTCAATGGTGGAACTGATGAGTCTTAACACACAATGAGCAGATACAAGGCACACAACAACAACAACCACATGTCACCAAAATGGCAATAAAAGTAGCCACAGAAATCAGAAAAGACATTATCATACTTTTCCCTCTTTTGGTAACACATAGTTCTGTAGAATAAAAAAAATACAAATCCCTTATATTATAGGATATAAAAATAAAGTTGAAAGTTCCTCAAAAAAATGGATTGTTCAGACAAAGTTCCACACCGGCTATATCAACCTGTTTCAGCGGGAAATGGAGTTCCCTGTGCCGTCTTGGTTTGCCATGTCTTCGTCCCCCCAGCCCGCTGACGGCGGCTTCTGGGGTGCTTGCTAGAGAGATGTGGCCTGATTGTCCTCCCCCGGCCCGCTGATGGCGGCTTCCGGGTCGACTGTTGGAGAGATGTCCTCCCGATCCTCCTCCTCCGGACTGCTGATGGCGCCTCCTGGGTCGACTGCTGGAGAGATGTCCTGATCCTCCTCCTCCGGCCCGCTGATGGCGCCTCCTGGGTCGACTGCCTTGACGAGAGCCAGATCTGTTCTGATGTCGTCCAGGGTCCTCGCGACGAGGGCCAACTCTGTCCTGATGTCGTCCAGGGTCCTCGCAGGTGTTTTTCCCGACTGCACACTGGCTCCAGTGGTACCAGTTGTCTCCCTTTCCATCTAGGCGAACGGCATGGGAGGTCCCCTCCAACCAGACGTAATCTGCTATGTTGGCCTTGTGTTTCTCGGGTCCCCCTTTTAACGTCAGCAGCCTGTGTGGAGAAGTCTCATACCAAGCCCTTAAGTTGCTGGAAATATGGTTTTGAAATCATCTCAAAAAATCAAAATCAAAAATCAAAATCAAAAATCAAAATCAAAATCAAAAATAGAACAAAAATAAAAATAAAAGGAACAAACTAACAAAACAAAAAATAACCAAAGCTAGATTATTTTTAAATGTATCAATTTCTCTTAAAAGCAACAAATAAAACAAAACAAAAAATACCATAACTAGTATTTTAAATTGATAAATTTCTCCTAAAAACGTAATAATCTCACATACATATTGTCTGATGTATATCCTATCCTTTTCCCCCTTTTACTGAAATAGAACGCCGTTAACGGTGTTCCTATTTTCAGAAATATCGAGGCTTATACATCAGTTATTTAATATCAGCTATATATTTATTATTACTATTACTTATATATCAGGCATTAAATGTCAGCCTTCTTCCACGATTGACCTCGTCTATATTATCTGACTTATATTGATACGTGTCTGTTTGTATTTATTTAATATACTGGGCAATTATTGATAACTTTTTGAATCTCCCTCTTTCTTAACCACTTGAGGTATGGCTATTTTGAAATCTGACTTGGTTTAAGAGATGATTCGTTATTGGTGAGAGGCCCACTCTTGCCCCTCGTGATTGGGGTGGGGGTGGATATTTAGGGAGAGTTCCTTACAATCTCCAGATCTTCCTCTCTGTGTTGAGGCCATAAAACCTTTTAATGGGCTCTGTGGTCTGTTCAGATTTAGATTTTCTTCCTCTCCAGAGGTCACGCCTGTCTCTGACCCTGTATGCTGCTTTGAGTCTGCAGCAC